CACTAAGTGGATTTGATCTTAGGGGAGCAGTTGCACTTTTGAAGGAGGCAAAAATGCTAGAGGCCCAAGTGCTTTTGAATTAACATTCACATTCAAAACCACTATATTATTGTTACATGAAGTGAACAAAGTGGTAATTTTGGATTGTACACATATTTCAAATAGGAGAGCTGCTTAGTAGGTTGTTATTCATGTTAAAAAGGCAGGACATGAAAACATAGACGAGAGCAGTCAAGACACCGCGAACACCAACTGGAAAAGTTGAAATTAAGCTAGAAACGAAACATGGCCAGTGGAGATATTAATCAAGGCGGCATACCTGTTGGCCTATGTGGGAGATAATTGCTCAGCATTTTATTTCTTTGTTGAGTTATTCGATGGTTGGCTCACAGATGCACTACCACAGGTCGCTATGCCAAGCCTCAACAATTAAATGCATTTTTTTTCATTTCTGTGCTTGTACAAAGCTGTATTAATCGAATTTCGCATGACTTTACGTAGTGATATAAAGATAGGTTCAATTATGGGCCTCTGGTTAACTGTCCTATGTGTTTCGTTAGTCTGCCTTCTCATTGTTAGTTAGCATTTTAAGGGTCCTGACTCACCGGCGGCCATAGTTGCATGCCCAGACTTTTCAACATGCCTCGATTTCATTAATGCGTAAGGAAAATAGGTTAATGAGTGAATATTAGGAAGCTAAATTTATATCTAGTGTAAGATGTTGTTTCTGTTTTCTTCTGTTAGACGTCTTGTTTAACAATGACTCAGCCTTATTTTGGAGCCTGCTAATGGGATATGAGATATACTTACATAAAGCAGCAGCTGTTAGCATGCTTTTGAGACTGCTACCACATGAGGCCGAGAAAGTCAAGTTTTGTTACATGGGGCATGCTAGAAAAAGTGAACTGTTTCAAATGTTTTTCGTTTTCTCGGCAAACATTCTACAAAACTGGCCCAAAAGAGGACAGAAGGCCATCGGGCTGCCTCCGAAACTGTGACTGAGCAAATACCTCTAGGTATTTGCGAGTTCATGGTCTCGTCAGGTTAGTCTATGAAGTGGTTTCTTTACCGTTTGCAATATTTTCCAAAGCTGGTGCTTTGATGCCTCAATGTGGGAAGAAATTGTTCCAGCACTACTTTTGGGGAAAAACTTTCTAATACAGCAGAGGCCTTTCAAACCATATGCTCAGAAATGGAGTTACGGGAGAAAAATAACTGACACATGATTGTTGCTACATGCTTTTACCACAGTCTTAGTTTCTTTGTCAGCAAAATTTCAGGGTTATGGTATCGAAATAATTCTTGTTTCAGTTTATGCTATAGTTGGTCGTGAGGAAACATGGCAAAATGGTACTCGGGTGCTGACCCGCAGGTGACGGGATTGAGTACCGGCTGTGGCAGCTGCATTTTCAATGGAGGCAGAGACGTTGTTGGCCCGTGTGCTCAGATTTGGGTGCACGTCAAAGAACTCCAGGTGGCCGGAAACTCCGGAGCCCTCCACTACGGCATGTCTCGTAATCATATGGTGGACTTGGGACGTTAAACCCCACATATCAATCAACTGAAACATGGCAAAAAGCAGTGTTTTTCGTATATTTTTAGAAGAGTGATTCTTTATTGTAGCATAAAATTACATTGATTTTTTAAGTGCAATTAATAAGAGTTAAAAATACTTCTCACTCTAAAATTAAAGATGCCTTCACACATTTTACTCTGGGTTTTTTGGCTGATATAAGACAGTCAATAAAGCATAAATGTAAACGGTAAGCAAAAAAATGAGAAGAAAAGCTTACTGTCAGTATCCTAAAATTCTATCAAATACTACATGGCGGTTGTCTTATTATGGCAGAATTTAAGATGATAATAGAGGGGGGGGGTTGAATGAGGGTCAAATCATTTAAAAAAGTTTGTTTTTGGAGCCAATCAAGATTTTTTAAAATTGGGTTGTTTTGAATTTTAAACAAAAACGTTTGTCTAGGTTGTGGAGGTAACCTTGATACGGTATGCTGCTCTGGTAAATGGGTGTCCTCTTGTGCATTTACTCATTTTTAGCATCATGGACAAAGTGTTATAAAACTGTTGAGCGGCCAGACCCCTGCTTAATGCCTTGCCCTCTCAGCCTAAACTTTGCACCCAGTATAATTACAATCGAAGCATTTTTAAAGTTGTGGATTTGTAATGAATGTGTTGCGATGTATACCAGATGAAAAAAATTCACTGAACGAATGTTAAAGCTTGTTATTCGACAATAGAACTTTTGTTTACCGAGGCAGCAAACTGCATCAATGTTGCTGCCACAACTTAGACAAATTGTCTGATTCAAACATTGGCTCGAACAAAACACCTAATTTAGTGATATGACACTCATTCAAGCCCACGTCTTCATGTTAGCTTCTGCTGTAATAAGATGCACAACTGTCATGTAGTGTTTATTGGATCTTAAAAAATATATATATTCAAGCCTTGCTTCTTAAATTATTGCTTACCATTTGCATTGAAGCGTTATTCATTATCTTCATCAGGCTAGTACCTCCACCTTGATGTTATGAATAAGGCGGCGTGTATCCATCCATCCAGCACTCCGTCACGCGCAGTGACAGAGTGCTGGATGGGTTGAGGCTACGGAAACGACAATGAAGTAGTGATACTTTTATCTGACAGCTCCTGTTTCTCGCTCCAGAGGTGCTATTACAATAAGTTTCCTGCCGCACGTAGGCCTTTGCAGTGGTCTACAATATGCTTTGTCTTGTGTAAGATTTCATAATATAATGCGATATTCATTCGTTCACCCTACATAGCTCTCCACGGTGTTAGTAGTTACAGAAATTGTAACTGCCACGCCATGGCACCGATTAAACGAAATTTGTTATGCTAGTCTATGCATTCTTTTCAGTTGGATTATAGCGTGTTTAACGTTGAGTTCTTGTCTACTGTAGCAATAGGTCTTCGTAGCACCCTGCTGCTTGTTCTGTGTGTGATCAGTTCTTGTCCAGAAATCCCGTCAGCTTTTGTGATTCATGAAATAGTGGTGTGAACAGAGGTGATGTACATAGTAGACATCATAGTGGTTCAAAATCTGAACATTGCTGCTGCTACAATAGTTCTTTTTTTGTAGTTCCTTTTCAGACATGCAGAAAGGAGCCAAGTGGAGCCGTTCATGGGCCATGCACACAGTTTCATAAGCGGGCTTTCATCACTTTTGACTAATATTTTTATGAATACATCTGCCAAAGTTGTGTTCAAAGAAGCATGTAGTAGTGCATTTCATTGTACATTTGGCATGATATAGCAGGTATGACTCACACAACTGCAAGACAACGCAGCACAGTGCATACACACAAACTGCCCCCACATACACTCTGCATTTGCGGCTTAACTGTGAATGGTTTACTCTGACCTTGCTAAACATATAATCACAAAATGACATGAAAGCATTGCCAACTATGCAGGTAGTGTTCTCGGTATATGCTGGCAATAAGTGTGCAAAGTTCAACTTGTCCACTGGTCACATATTTTCTTGTGAACATATATAGATAGAAGGCCGGGGTTGTTGGAGGCTGATACATGGTAACGAATGGACCGCGACTCCAAAAGTTTTCTGTTTTCTCACCGTTGTACACGAGGTGGCATAGTCAAATTGTTCAGGCAGCAGCTATGTTTTGTCACTTAGCAGCATTCAACAAGCTCTGTGTAAGAATATGTTGCAGGGAAAACTTAAGCAACATCTCTTTACGTTCTTTAGTTTCGGTGACCATTTTTCATTTGTATTGCCCATGAAAGTTTTCTTGCAATCTTTGCATTATACTTTACCGATCACCTCACTCAAATCTTCAGTGCTTTTCGGTATACCTTGGGGTATACGTTGACGGACTGCAGACCTGCGCATGATCGGAGGAAGGTCTTCTACAAAGTACAGTGGTGTATTGCAACGCCACTCCTATTGGCAGAATGGGCAGAACGAGTTCAGGGGTTTAAAGACTGCAAAGAGGGAATGCTGCTATTGCGACCAGTGCAGAATGTTCTAAGACTGAGTTTAACTGCTGGACAACAAGGCATAGCTTCTATGTAAACAGTGCTTCAAAGTGGCTTGGAGAAAGTTCGGGGAGGGGGGGAAGGGGACTTGAAATATTGGTTTATTTGTTGTTAACCATCAACTTCCAAGAACAACATGTTCACGAGGATGTATATTGCTAAAGAACTGGTCAACTTTAACTGACTTGTAGCCAACATATGCTGCAACTGCCACCTTCATAGGTGGGAACACTTCTATGCAACTTTATTAATTATAGGTTCAAGTAAACTTTTTACACTCATTACTTCACACGTAGTTTGGAACATCTTTGCAAGTACAAATTGGCTCAACAAAAAAAAAGCTGCAAAATGGGGAAAGGGAGGATGTCGTGAACTTAGCACGGGTAAATTTTTGGCCTTATTTGTGTAACATTTTCATGAATTTCAGCGTAGCACTTCAAATCACAAGAATGTTAAAGCTTGTGTATGTTCGGCCTGTCCCATCTTCGTCATTTCAGTGCCGCGATTGGCTCTATAAACATGTCATGTGCTCTTTGTGCCTTTCTTTGCTGCACATTCTATGCTTGTGTTCGTTGTGTAAAGCTTAGTTCAACTGGACTCCTATTCAATTGGTGTTGTCTACATAACAAACAGGTACTTTAGGGAGCTTGCCATGAATGACTGCATTCATTACAGAAAATCATGCTACCTGTGCTAAACATGCAGTACGTTGTCATCATTCTATGAATCCTGTGTTCACTTGCAGATGTAGGTGTACCCAGAAACTAAATTAACAGCGTGTCTAGCCAACGAAACTCTCCGTCAAACAACACAAATAACTCACATTCACAGGCTCGCAGAACATAAATGAAATCCTCCATTGCTATATTTTGCAAGCAGGCTGCATGGCACAGATAATAATAATAATAATAATAATAATAATAATAATAATAATAATAATAATAATAATAATAATAATAATAATAATAATAATAATAATAATAATACCTTTTATTTCTTCAAATAAGACAGTACATGTGACTAGGCCTGCCAAAGCCAATTGGTGGCTTGAGTGGCAGAGCCTGGCAGACAGCAAAACAAACCGGAGGCGTTGCAAGATTGTATTTCACGGCCTAAGAGGGATGATAGGACAAAAAACAACGTGCATATAAGATTAGAAACAACAAGGCATATAAGCAATAGTTACAAGCATTATACAATAGTTACAGCAATTGAAAGTGAAAAGATGTACAGCATAAAAAAAAGAATTAGAACAAATGCTTCTTAAGCAAAGTAACACACTGGATAATTGTGCAGCATCATGCTTGCGAATGAGTGTATATGAAATATCACACGACATGCATTACAATTGTAGACAGATACGCCGTAGCAGTTTCTTTAGTTTGTATTTTGTTTTTGTGCGAAAAATGCTGGGGGAAAGTACTTTGAAATAGGTTGGTACACAATGGGCTCGTATTCTAGTTGCATACTTTGTTGAACACCACGGCCTCCAGTAACGTACCTTGGGCCTTAAAGAACGAGAAGTAACATACGGAACCAGGAATTCTTTGAACCAGATATGTTTTAAAACAACCGCTTGAATTAACAGATCATTGAAGTTTGGCATAAACAGCGTTTTGAAAATGTCTTTCTCACAATTAATGTTCAGGTCGTAAGATATATTTTTAAAATCGAACGCAATATTCTGTTTATTCTATTGTGCCACGGACAGCACAGTGTCCGTAAATGGTTATTCCGTAACGCAGTATACTGTAACCTAAAGCGTGTGCTATCATCTTACGTACTGAAGATGGCATGTTGTATCTTATGTTATATAATCGACATGACACAGCGCGAAGTCTTTTGCAAACACACGCGAGATGGCTATTCCAGGAAAGGTCACTGTCAATGTACAAGCTCACAACAGATGAATACTGTAATGAACTACAAGAGCAGTATGAACAGTCAGAACAATGCAAAATGAAAGGATAGTCAAGGGTTACTTTCTTCAATGGATTGTGGAGGCAGATTAGATTCGTTTTAGACACATTTATATTAATAAGGTTATTTCGAAACCAATCTATGGCTTTAGCAGCAGCTGACTGAAGAAGAGTAATCGCCTCATAAAAGTTGTTTGCAGTCGTCACGATCACAGTGTCGTCGGCGTATTCTTATAGAGAAAGCGGTATCGCGCTGTGAAGGTCATTCACAAAAATATTGAATAGCAGCGGACTAAGAATTGATCCCTGTGGAATGCCGGTTTCGATGATTTGGAACGCGCTGTGAGATTGTTCAACGGATACAAGGTGACGCCTGCCTTGAAGGAAATTTGCCAACAAAGACCAGAAAGCACCCCTAAACCCTAAATGAAAAAGTTTATCCAATAACAAGGTATGAGGGACACTGTCGAAAGCCTTGCTGCAGTCAAGAAAGAGCGCACAGGCAACTTTGTTGTTATCTAACGCCTCGTTCAACTGATGGCGTCTGAGTGCTTCCAATAGCGTCTGAGTGCTTGTCTCCTGTCGAAAACTATACTGGCAAGGCGATAAGATGTTGTGACTATCGAGAAAGCTTGTCATCGTTAACAACAAATGGTTTTCCAGTATTTCTGCTATAGAAGGCAGAATTGATATCGGACGATAATTTTCAAGTTTATCACGCGCACCGCATTTGTGTAGAGGTATAACTATTGATGTTTTCAAGTTTATGGGAATTTCTCCACTAGAAGTAATGCGAAATATTAGTGCTAGCAGAACTTCATGGGTGTGTTCAAATGTACGGTGCAAGTCAGTTATAGAAACACCATCAATACCGGCAGATTTTTTACACTTCAAACTGAAAATGATAGATCGTAAGTCCTCATGTGATATTGAAGGTAGATTAACCGATTCGCTAACACTGTGACGTAAAGTGTACGGGCCTACTTGGGAACTTGTGTTTTTATATGTTCGAGAAAAAAAGTTGTTAAATTCATCAGCAATCTCCTGTGCGTTATTGGCTTGACTTGAAAAAAAGTTATTCAAAATATTGACGCGAGTGTTTGCGCCGCTAAAGGTGTTAATTAACGCCCAGGTTTTTTTGCTGCTGTTACTGGCATCCTTAAATTTCGCTCGGAAATGGGTTCGTTTAGCCGACTGAATCATTGCATTAACCTTGTTTCTGCTTTGCTTAAATTTGGCTCGCAAGTCTGAACAGTTGGGATAACGCTTACATTGTGTCCAAAGCAAGTCCTTTTCTTTTATTGCAGCGAGTAAATGTGTTGACATTCATTTGTTATCCAATTTAGGTTTTTTATGTGTATCGTTCACGTCGCACTTTCTTTTAAGCTTATGAACGCTTCTACAAGTCTATTGTAGAGATCACTAGGAGACGTTATTGACAACAAAGAATTCCAGTCATAATGAGCTACCAGATTATCAATTTTTTTAATCTAGCACCAAAATTAGTTTTTTTTTTATCGGTTGGCATCGTTGTCATATGTGGACAGCTGATTGAGCGGCAAACAAAGTAATGGTCAGCTGTCTTCGTCTGTACTATTGCGGTTTTTGTGAGCAGGTTCTGCGCACGCACGAAAACGTGGTCACTGCACGACACGACGGGCTTGCCAGCCAAAAATTCCTCTCGAGTCGCTTTATTTATTCGGCACTCTAAGCCCCATTTAGAAAGGCTGTCTAGATAATCAGCAACGAGGCCTACTGTAGGACGCAAAAGGTCAATGTTGACGTCTCCTATGATGCACACAGGCTCTTCTATCGATAAGGATGATAGTGTGGACTCAAGTTAAGTTAAGAAAAGGCGCGTATTGAAACTGGTAGGCCGGTACACCGATAAGAGAGTCACCGAAAAAGCGGGCGTGTTGAAGAGCAGTGCTAACACTTCGACTTGTGAAAAGAAAAAGGATAGCTGCGAAACTGCCCATCTGTTACTTATAAAAACGGCAATGCCTCCTCCTTTTCTTGTTGGGCGAGTGTATGAAAAGGCTTGGTAACCCAGCAGAACAAACTGTGAGAATCGTTCGGATGAAATGTTGATTTCAGTAAGGACAAAAGCATCGAAAGTTAGGCGAGATGAAGAAGTGATGGCACAGAACATGATTCCAATGTTTCCGAAGACTACGAATATTGACATGTGCTACTTTGAAGCCGTTAGATGAGGCACCAGAAAGGAATTTAACTGCATTCGCGAAGTCGGTGCAGGTGATACTTTTCATATCCGCCATGTTTAGGCCAGCTTATCCAAATCCGATAGTTTTTCAATGCGAATGGCAAGTGCTCCTTCCGCTTTTCTTGCTAGCACCTTTCCGTCCCTCGTCCACACGAAGTTATAAGCTTTTTCTTTTCCCTTTCGAGTGGGTCAATCGGAAGAGTTCTTGGTTCATCCGTGTCAAGTTTTCATTGATGTACAAGCGAGGAAAGTTATCGTACTGAGCAAGATCACGAAGGCCATTTCGAGCTCGAAGTTAGATGTGGTGCGACGTACAGTTGTGCGGAACAATACAGCAGACTGTTGTGTAGAACAATACAAACAATTTTGTATTAGTTGCAATAACGTATAGAATACGTAAGAACGCCTTATTCGAAGGAAATTGTTGTATTTTGATCACGGAATAAGATCTGTCGCCTTAATAGGGTGACGGGTTGCTCTGTGGTAACTGCGCTGAAGCATTACTTCCGTGAAGAGGCTACGTACTAAGGAGATAGTTGCATTCTTACTCACGGAATAGCTCGGCACCGCTAGACCTCCAGCATTCTCCGTGAAGAAGGGTCCTCATTTTTTACAGTGTATGTGGAGCCAGCGAAACGGCCACGAGCACGTTATGAGCGTGGTATGTTGTCATTTTCTTAAATGACATGCTTGTCCGCGTTACCATGTGTGCACTAGTCAATACTTTCGTCATCAATTGCCGTCACGTAACACCAAATTTAGTATTTGCGGAGTTCGCAAAGCGGCCACGAGCGCATCATAAAGCGCCCAATATACTCCAATGTACACATATATAGCCTTTTTCACTCCGGAACGTACCCGCCGGCCTGCCGCTTATGTGGCAGCTGAATCGCCAACTATGAGCGCATATTTTACTCCTGTTCGGCACACTTGTCCCCTGCCTCTTGGCACCTGAGATGTCAGCAGTAGTTGAAGGCTGCTTCGTCCAGCACCAGGCCGGACCTGCAACTTCGGCTGGTGACTTGAGGGAAGGACGTCGCGGCTAGGCGCTGTCTGGACCCACAACCGGCAGCCTGAAGTCCGCCCACAACGCTGCTTTTTAATTTTTTAAATATTATTTTACTTTCTGGCCTTTTGACGAATACAGTTTTTCACCACCATCGCAACCACCAATGTAGCGTTGACGCGTGCGCACGCTGGGCACAGCGACGCTACGTTATTAAAACGCGAACACTCTTCAGTCTGACGCCAGGCGTGACAAGCGTGACTAGCGTCTGTCGGCGCGGCCTGATTGCACCAAGCCCGAGATGCGACAGGCTGCATTTCACGCGAATGTGTTACCCAGACAACACTGAGTCTTCCTCTTATCGTGACGAAGGGACGCAGGACGTGCTGAAACGCGCATGCGTCAAAGCAACGCAGCGCGGCGCGCGCTTGCGAGTATATGGCAAGACCGGCGGCTGGCGGGACAATGCCGGCGTGACACGACGAAATGAACGCCGGCGAGCACACGCGCCGCATCACGTCGAAATGTATTGGCGCCTTAACTGTTGTATGTATTCATGTTCTGACATGACACACATCTCATGATTATCATGTTTGCACCAGTATGTACCTTCGTCATCCTTTGACGTCGCGTAATACAAAATTCGGCATATGTGAAGCTAGCGAAACCGTCGCGAGCACACCATGACTATTTTGTTACATGACACGCATGTCAATATTATCGTGTTTGGATGTGCCGTTTGCCTCTATCTTCCGTTCGCGTCGCGTAATACCGTGTTTGGCACATGTGAAGCTAGTGAAACGTCCGCGAGCGCATCATGAGCGTAGCATGTAGTCACGCTCTTACATGACACGTATCTCATGTTTATCATGTTTTCACCAGTATCATGCCTTCGTCATCCATTCATGTCTCGTAATACCAAATTTGGTACAAATGAAGCTAGCGAAACGGCCACCAGTTCAT